GCCGCGCTGTTGATCACAATGCCCAGGCCGTTGCACAGCGTCTCGAACTCGCCCATAAAGGTAGAGTCCTGGTCCTGCTCCACGATGCGTGGTGGCCCGGCCAGGTAAGCCATCCGAGTTCGAAAGCCTTCGTCGCTAACTCTGCCGTAGGTCTCGATCCGGGACACGTGTAGACCGCCGCGGCGAAGTCCGAGGCCACGTCCACGATAACAAGCACCACGTGCATGTTCTTGTCCAGGTCGGGCACGATCATGAAGTCCATGCTGATGGCTTCGTTAAACTCCTTAACCTTAGGCTGAGCTGCCGTAGGTCTCGCTGCCGTCCGAGCCTGCTCTTCGCACGTCGTGCATCTGAAGAGACGTGCTGCTTGTACCGCTCGTCGCCTAGCTCCACCATGCTGTAGAAACAGCACCAATGACTCCTTGTACGGTTCATGTGAATGGCTCTCGTGTATCTTCTTGAGAGCTGCTCGCATAAGTGGTGGCACCGCCGTCCATTCCGCCATCTCGATGTTCTCGCCATGCTTGCTGAAGATCGCCGCCGCGCTAGCGTGCATCGGATCCTCCGTCTCCGCAGGGTTGGCCTCGAACTCGTCACAGTCGATGTCGTCGAAATTGTTGGCGTACCGGGCGTAGCCACCATGATGCTTCTCGAGATCTCGCTGATCCTCGATGCCGTCCAAGATCGTCTTGGCCAGCTCCTTGGTCCAGTTCCCAAGGCTCGATGCTGTTCCCTTCGGCCTGTTGATCACGCTCGTGTGCGCGTGCTGCTCGTCACACCTGATGTTGTTGAGCTTCTTGCCGAGCATGATGGCCGTCGTCAGGAACCTCGTCGGCTTCTTGACTGGATCGCCCACGAAGTCCACCAAGTTGCTGCCCTCGGCGCACTGGTGCATCATCGCGCTCACGAACTCTGAGCCCAGCCATGGCATAAGCTGCCAGGCTCTTGACGTCAACGGGTTTTCCAGTAGCATATGAGCTCCTCGGCGCTTGCAGTTGAGCCAGATCTTCTTGACAAACTGCAGGTGCTGCATGCCGATCGCCAACTTACGCATCTTCGTGTCCTTCGGGAACATGTGGGATATGTTCGTGAACGGGTCGCAGGGGAAACCCACAATGGTCATGTAGGGGTTATCCTCGTTCAGCTGATTCAGGACGGTCTTCTGCGACTTCGCGCCCAGCAGGTCGTCCCCGATCAGGATGTCCCGCGGCCTCGTCACTGGATGCCGCCGCTGCTGAGCTTCTGATGTGGCTGCCATGCCACCTGCGTGGAGCTCGCAGATGATGGGCCGCTTCTCCTCCGGGTCCGCCTTCAGCGTGTCCACGATCTGCTGGCACTGGTCCAGCTTGTCCTGAATCTCTTTCTCCCACGTCTCGATGTGCTTCCTCTGCTTCCGCCGTAGGATGCCCTTATCGATCTCCTGGACCTCCGCGTTCCAGATGTCGATCTCGTCGGTCGCGATTGATGGCTCGATCTTTGTCGTCTCCTTCTTCGGCCACTCCTTGAGCGAGATCGTCAGGTGTCCCTTCTCCGTCTTGTTGAGAGGCACTCCTTACTTGTTGATCGCCTTGAAGTCCGCCTTCCGATCCTTGGTGTATATCACTGTGTCGAGCTCCTCCGTCTTTGACTTCGGCAGCCTCTGGAAGCGTAGGTTCACGTCAGTTCCAGCAAGTCCAGCCGTCACCTCTTGTTCTCCTTCTGCCATGACCGGGGCACTATCGTTCACGCCTCGGAAGCGCATGGATGATCCTCTCATCCGCGCGGTGACTCTGCCGTCCTCCGTGTAGCCGTCCAGTGATATTGAACCTCCACATCCACGTGGGCATGCAGTGTCCAGTACAGCATGTCCATCTGGAAGAAGTCCTTTTCGTACTGCGTAGGCCTCGATGTCTTCCAGCTCCTCGTAAGTTTGCTGCCGCCCTGGTGATGGTGTGCAGTCGCCCTCTGGGGCGTAGTTGGTTCCAGCTCGGCGTTGCGCCCACAACCATGTCGGTCGCACTCCAATCGGTAGGCGCTCGCAGGTACTCCCCCCCCCCCAAAAAAAAAAAAAAAAAAAAAAAAACCCGTACTCCTCACGACGTCACGGAGCTCCGAGGTCTTGTCCCAAGCTGCTTGGCAGAGATCGTAGGCCAGATTCCTGAGACCGCTCGGCGCCATTTCCATGGTGACGCGCATGAGCTGCTGGAAACGATGCAGGGCCCAGTCCAAACAGAAGGCCGCTTCCATGTTCTCGCAGCTTACCCACGACGCTGCGATCTGCTCAGCACGATCTCGTATCTTCTGTGGGTCGGCGGCTGTGTTGTCTTCCTCCAGGTAGTCTGTGCTTGGTCTGCTGGGCTCCGTCCTCGACCACGACCCTGGTGTCGGTCTGCTTGTCCACGATCTCTCCTCCGAGCTCACTGGAGTGCTCAGGGGTTCGTCAGATTATTGTGCTTGATGCTCTCCAGGTACCGGGTGTAGCTCGTGCGCCTGGTCGATCCTCTCTCGGAAGTTCGGCTGGTCTCCTGCTGCTGATACCGCGCAGGGGTTCACGATCTGCTCCTCGGTGTCGATCCTCACCTTCGTCAGACTCGTGATCTCCTCCATCGCCACGCGGCGGTCATGTCCATCGAGCTGTCCGCCATCAGCAGCTTGACCGCGGTCGCCATTGCGAATCCAGCTCGTCGTAGAAAACCTCCAGGTCGTCCGTGCAAGCCTCGTCCTCCACGTCCGCCTCCTCGTCCTCCACGTTGTAGCGTACTGGATCCACTCGCTGGTGACCTCGTCTTCTCGCACTCGGTGTCACCCTTCCAGTGGCCCTTCTTGCGGCACGCGTTGCACTTCGTGCGCGCCTTGATCTGCTTCAGCTTATCATCGGCCTCCCTGCTGTCCATCTTGATGGAGCCCTGCTTGTTGATGTTGGCTTTCCAGCCGCTATTCGACTTCCTCTGAGCAAGCCGCTCCCGGGCCTGCTTGCAATTGGGCTTGTGGTTGCGCCGTCCAGCTTTCCAGCCAAGACGTTGAGCCTCCGTCGCCAGGGCGTCGCACTCCTCCTGGCTGATCTCTCCCGGGCCCGCGTCGTCAATCACTCCCTCGAACTCATCGATGTCCGCTGCAAGTGCGTCGTAGTCCGCATCACTCAGGAAAACGTCCTCGTCGCACGGTGCACATTCGTCTCCGAATAGAGCATCTTCTTCTTCGTCGTCGTAGTCCACCGGGTAGGCTCCGCATCGTCCATGTCCACGATCATCTCGGCCTGTGCTGTCCAGCTGTATCAGCATGGCTGCCGTCACGTCGCCCCAGATGTACTCGATGTTGCTAGCTTCAGTAGGAAGTATGTCCGTAGGTCCTCGCTGACTGTCGTATTCGTTGAACGTGACTTGAGCCGCTCGTACTCAGTCTCTCTCCTTGATATGTAGTCCTGCACAGACTCCGTTCTATTGCGACAACCTCTGAAGAAATATTCCTCGAATGCTTGCTGCTTCTGTAGTGGTGCGATCCTTTCGCACGCCTGTCGCACTGTAGTTACCACCAGTTTGACTGCAGCAAGTGGGTCATTAACTGCTTCGTCCAACACTGCCTGCGCACTGATCTCAGCCTTCTTACGTGTAAGTGTCCACGCTGGTCCATTTAGAGAATTATTGGGCTTCATCGCGTAGAGCTTCTTGAACTTCTCCTCGCTAGCGTGGTAGCCGACTATTGCACGCTCCTCGATCTCCTCGCCGTAGGATGGGTCGCCGTTGTAGTGTCACTCCCTCCTTGTCAACGAAGAGGGGGCCGTCATTGAACTGCTGCTGCTGTTGCCTGGACGTCATCCTGATGACCGTGATGCTACTGAGCTTGTTTCCGATGTAGTAGCTGTCTGAACCGTTGCTGCTGCAGTTATGCTGCTCGCCCGGGATGCCGTTGATGCAGCGATCCTCGTCCAAGCTGCCGTAGGTAATGATCTTGAGCGTCTTGTCGATCACCGTGATCTGTTGAGCGCAGCGGTTAAGCACCGCGAGGATGTAAGTGAGCGCCAGCATATATGCCTGCACGGCCACTCTGTATGAAATCCTTGTACCGCGGACTGATTCAGCTCCGCTACCAGTGTAAATAGTGATCCAAATCTCTCCACCCACAACTTGTTGATGCAAGAAGAAATAGATAGAGTATGATCTGATGTGATACCGAATCAGGCTAGACAGTCGTTGAGTGCGTCCACCCTCCCGCCACAGCTGGCGGGTCCACAGCCAAAACGGCCGCGGTGAGCAAGAGAGTGCAAGCATGAGCGAGCGAGAGCAGCAGCAGAGATAATTATAACTATCATCATATATATCACATCCCTGCTAATACAACTTTCACACTTCCTTGGCTGCATCCACGCGATCCTGGTACTGCTTGGCCAGAGCGGCGTCTCCCAACTTAGTCGCCAAGGACACCATCTCCTGGCAGAGGCTGGAGAGGACCAGGCGCATCACCAGCAGCACGAGGGGGAGGAACAGCTTCACCACGGACAGTGTGACAATACTCGCAGAACCTGAAGTGCGGCTTGTTCTTCGCGCATCGACACTTGGGATTGAGGCACGCCCATTTGCCAGCAGCAGGGGGTTTGCCGCCGCCCCCTCCTGATGGAGCCTTTGGCCATCTGGGCCAACCTTCGCCAGCGGCCGCCACAGCCGCGCGGGAAGCAACCCATGGAGGCGTGCCTGGCATGGCGTCTGGCTGAGAATCGCTCTCGCCGAGAGGCGAACCAACTTGGCCCGCTGACACCCAGCTGCTCTGAAGTGTAAGTGCCAGCAAGCACAGGAAACCTGGAAAAGGGCCTGTGCCAGAACAGCTTGTGCCAAAATGGCTACGGATGGGGGGGGAGAGAAGGGAGGCCTGGAGGAGCAAGGAGGAGGAGGAGGGCGCTCGGAGCTGGCTGCCACGCCCATACCCTCGGGCGTCAGCGGTGAGATGCATGCCCTCGCTGCAGACAGGACGGAGCTCGCTCTCTCTCTCTCTCTCTCTCTCTCTCTCTGGGCAGCAGCTGGAGCGACTATTTTTCATGAACAGCGCGTGGACCACGTTCATGCAGAAAGCCTGCCCCTTCCACTTTGTGCCGACCCCTTCGGAGCACTGCTCGGTGGGCAGCTGTCCAAGCAGACCAGCCTCGACCTCACAAACCTTCGACGTCGCTCAATGCTCGGGCACACGCTAACGTTAGGTCGGGCGTGTCCTCCTACAGGCGGAGTTTGGAGGACACAAAAAATACTCACAACAAATATCCAAACATAGTCACACACAAGAAATAGTGTAAATCGTCCCAAGACTATGTTGTGACTACTTTTGAGTATTCCTCCTGAAAAGGGACATGCCCGACTTACGGCTAACGCGTCTGATGGATCCGTGGATCTGCCGCGTGGGCGCCAGACCAACGGATCGGGGAAGGTACCCCCCCAAGGCATGTGGTGGTCAATGCCCCCCGCCACATCCGGGCACCCCCATAAGCAATTTAACCGACGGAACACACCGAGTCTGCACAGAAACGGGACCCGGCGCTGCTCCATGCGCCTTCAACAGAGTTCGTGCTTCCCCGACGTGCAGTACTGCCCCCTTCTGCTCCTCCTCGTCCTCCTCCAACCTCCTCCTCCTCGTTCTCCTCCTCCTCCTCCTC